CCCCCCCCGGGGTTGACGCCGCCTCCCCATCAGCACAAGCCTCCATAGACAACCCCCTCTGACGATCATTCACCCGGCATTAAAAAGCGCCGCTGCCTGCTGGACACCGCCGCAACCCGCCAACCTCGTCCCCGCCGTCCGGCCTCGTCCCCGCCGCTACGATAGCCTCCGGTTCTCTTCCCTTGTTTGCCTCGCGGCAGATACGCCCCTGCCGGTGAGTCCCAAAAGCAATTCAGAGTAAACACAGGGAATTTAGGCTCTAAGTACGTCTCTTTAATAGTGTGTTTAAAGTAAAGCGCCGTGGAGCTGTCTTGACTTGTGGAGGATTGTCTGCAGTCTTAAAACTACTAACGAGTTTTGACTGACAACAGAAGAACATGTTGAATAGTCTCACCAGCATATCACGCAGGTAGAATCTGATTTGGGTTTGAGTAGCTCCAGGACATCAGATGTCTGTGTTTCAGGGGAGGGCACCCACTGACCGGAAGTGCAAGGCTCAGGCACCTGCCACGTTTGTAGGGAAATTTGCAGGGAGAGGTGGACAGGGAGCTGGTATCAGTTGTAGTATAATCGGTGTGTGTCTCAAAAGTGCCAGAAGAAGTCTTAAAGTTCTACTGTATTGGAGGGTAGTAGGTGAAAGGTCCAGAAAGAGTTTAATCTCTTCCATTAAAGGTGATCTGGATATTTTCTCTGGTTTTAAAGATCACTTCCATGAGATGGAAGCTGGGGAGGCAACAAACAACATCCCTTGGTGGGGCAGCAAGGGGTCCTTTGGGAGGAAGCGGTTTGTGGATCTGGGGATTTAGTTGGTCACTCCACGTGGTTAAGATCGAGTGGACAGCAGACTTAAGCTGGTCCTGTAATAGTGTTTTGTGGAGGCCTCTTACCTTGATCTTATGTGTTTATTGATTCTGCGCTGGATGGGTGAAACAAAAGTGCGCTGTCTTACACTAAGTGATTAAATAAGAAGGCTGCGGCAATAAGGACCAACAAAGGTCAAATCGTATATGTTTTCAATATATGCAGCGCCAACGAAAAATGGTGGATAAATTGAGTGAATGTGGTTAAGACAATATACCGCAAACAATAAACAATAAATGATGTACTGAAATTGTGTTAATCCGTGAATCAATCAAACTTAATAAAAATGTGGAAATATACAACGAATGTACATTTATACATATCAAATAAATTGAAAAAGTTTTTTATGACAAGTGCTGTGTACTTCTTTTTTCAAACACCATGGGTGCAATAAGGTGTTCCAAGTGTGGAAAGTTTATAAATTCAAAAAAAGAGTTTATACATTCAAAGAAACAGAAAAATGTTCCGTGATAATTGTTGGGGATGCGGGCTAATGCCGCACGTCTCCCCTCAGAGGTGTGTACTCACCACAATGTAGTGGCTGTAGTAAGCAGTCTGAAACGCTTTGAAGGAAACAGATTTTCCCGGAGCCATGACGTCCTCGCCGTAACTCTCAACGGTCCCCAGCCAGCAGACGGTTTGTCTCCAAAATCATATAAGAAAAGAGCCTCTCATTGCGTAGCAATTTCAAAAAGGATTTTATTTGAATCAAGTAAAAGCAGGACAACGAAATCCAAAAAAATATTCCGATCGGCAGACAGAATACTCTGTAAACTCCTGTGTCTGGTGTAGCATAAAGTTAGGCCCGCCCCTACGCGTTTCATCATACTGACGTCCTCAGGGGTTTAGCAGGAAAGTGCAGGTAAGCAGCTGTATGTGGAAGAAGCCATGCACAAGGCTATATCCGCCCTCAGAGCTCTGAGCCCGGGTACAATCGGGGGAAACTTATAGAATCAGATTTATTAAAGCTATTCAGAGTTTTCTTTTCACATTTTCAGATACAAGATAACTTTGTGGAAGTTGTAATGGTCAGAGTCTATGTACTTGGTGGTGAAGCTTTACATACATTTTAACAGAGTACAGTATTATTGACAGCCTCTGTCAAGACCGGAGGTAACGGGAAATTTCTGCATGGGGGACAATAAGTGAGAGAACATTTTCAAAATACGGTCCCTACTCTTTCCAAAACTAAAATAGGATTTGGCTGGACTTAGGCACTACGACACCAAATGCTATCATTACGTGCACAAACACTTACTGGAGTACAATATTTTGTGGATGTTTTAAGTGGTCCATGTCAGGTGCTCTTTTAAAGAACGACTGAGCAAAACTTTGATTAGCCCTTGCAGTGGGCCTACCGCCGCACTGCAAGAGTCAGACATCCCAACCTGCAAAACCTTATTTCACGGAGGTGCCCTTCTCATTTCAGGGAGGTACCTTCTCTGTTTTTTTTTATTTTGACAGCGGCCGTCGGCCGCCTTCACAATAAAAAAACAGACTAGGAAGTGTGCCACTCACCCTCCACAGGCGTCTTCTATCGGCTCCCCCTCGGCACTCATCACAAGGTGTCTGCAGAGCTAGCTCAGGGACTTTTGTCTCCAGTCAATCACAGGCCGCACTGCCGTGCCTAAACCCCTCCCACTGACCAGCCAGCGGCACAAACTTTTTTTCCCCCTTACAGCTGAAAACTTTATTGATACTGAGCAGAGCTAGTGAGCGCATCAGACCCGCTAAGGTTTCAATCCTTTCCGGGATAAAATGTCTCTCTTGCGGGCGTCCGGGAGCCGCTATCTAATAGCAGGAGACTCCCGGGCCGTCCGGGAGACTTGAGATGTCTGAAGGGTTAACTGCTCGTTTTTGTCTAGGTGCTAACAAAAAAACGTTACTGGCATTACCACCACTAGATGGCAACGAGGAGCATAGGAATCTCAAATGCTCCTTGGCTCCATCTAGTGGGGTAGTGATGTAATGGTGCGATTCTTACCCACCTCCCTTAGCTGGACTACACACCCCATATATCTAGGACTTACCTATGCCTCCTGGGTGCCTGGGACGGCCACATTGAGTGTCAGGATGGAGAGCGGTGGGAGAGAAGTAAAAATACATTTGCTCCCTTCACGGTGTAAAACAAAACCAGAAATATATAATATAGTAATCTTCACCCCTAAAATGTGTGCTAAAAAAAAGAGAAAGAACGCACCGGCAGCATGAGGGTTAAAGGAGACCTTCTGCAGAAGAAATACCCGATCTCCAGTCCTGTGGCGGCGAGTGCTCACCTCTCTTCCCCTCTGCTCCAGCTGTGGTGTGTCCCTCGGCATCCTCACATCTAATGCAGGTGAATGGACTGCATTAGACATGATGACATAAGCGGTACTTGGACTGCTGGAGGTCGGGGGAGAAGGGGCTGCAGGGACTGATCGAGCAGCCAGGCAGGATTGAGCATCCAGGTGAGTATATTTCTTTTATTTGAGCCACCAGAGAAAAATGAGCAGTTAACCCTTCTACAGTCCCAGAGTTCCTCTTTAAGGACTGACTCCATTTTTTAGACCATGGATCATATTACACTCATATTTAGGGCCCATCCACACCAAATCCAGATTTTCTCCAGACCAGACCAGTTCCAAAAATGCATCCTAATGTATCCCTATGCTATTTCTGGCCTCTGTTCAAACCAGTGCAGTCCATTCCATACCAGACGAGAAAAATACTGCATGTCTTACTTTGTCTGGTCTGGAACTCACTGGAGCTGCCGGCAGGTTCACACCATTTTCCGGAACAGATCCGGACCAGAAAATGGTGTGAACCTGCCCTTAGGGCCCATTCACATTGGATCTGTTTTGTAATAGATGGTAACGCAGGGGCAATGAAAAATGAATGGGACAGTTCACATGGGTGCATTGCTTTGCCGTCCGTTGCACTGACAAAAAAGTAGTACATGTGAAGTATGTGCACTCTGGACATGTTACATCACATAAAGCTTGTCCAAAAAAAAATCTGAAAAAATGTGAGGCAACACAATGCTTGGAAATCGGAAAGGTACAATTGCAGGTCTATGGTCCCTCCGTGGACCTGCGAGTACCTTCTGAGTTAGGTATGAATGGGGCCTTATGGTGTAACGTCAGTCATGGTTGTACTCCTCAACTCCCCCCATTACTTGAATTGTGGGGTGCGCCCCCTACAGAAATGTGGATTGCAAACAGCACAGTTTTGCGCATCCTCAGAGGCTCCAATGTCTGTAAACAAAGCTACAAGTTACAGCAACAAAGCCACGACGGCCAATAGGACATGTAGATAGCATGGCGGTGATTCCTCCTCCAGCCAGGTCCGCACCTCCCTATGGACCTGAGCCTGGGAAGAGGAAGCAGTTTGCAAGAGGCAGAGCATTGCACCCTTGACATGCTGATCACAGTTGCAATGCTCTGCAGGCCTGAATACAAAAACTGAATACATGCACTTTTTATAACATGGTTGAAGTAATTTATTGTTTCCAATGCAAAGTGGACAATGCCTTAAAGCCGTAGCCAACATTGATGGAATGTGATAGAGCAGTAGCCGGTGTGTGTGAGGAGTATACAGATACACGTGTATGTGTGTATACTCCTCCATCCATCCCCCTCTCCTCCTCCTCCTGCATGTCCCCGCTTATCCCCTCTACTCCTCCTTCTCCGCCCGCTCAGCCATGGAGCCCGGGAAGAGGATCACTGTGGGCTCCGGAGGCCTGTGCTTATGTCTGGCCTTTTTTGTCTGCCTTCCATGCCGCGGCCTCCTCTATTCCATCCCCCTGCAGCGTCCAGAGGACTGCTCGCCTCAGGAGTACTACGAGCCGGGGAACTTGTCCTGTGTATCGTGCCCGGACACACACAGGCCCAGCCGGGAGGGTAGATATACGGGGGGATATGAGGGTGCTGCGCCATTCATGGGGGGGTCACAGGCCGCACATTAGAAGACACGATGGGGGGGCAGGAGCAATGCTGCATTGGAGAATTAAGGGTGTCATTGAGGAGCACAGGCTGAGCTGTATGTACACAGTGCAGTGTCTGTCTTCTGGTACTTTGCTTTACCACACTTACTATTACACTGAATCTGTCACCAGGAATAGACATTAAAGAGGCCCTGTCATCAACTTGAAGCTGAACTCTGGGCAAAAACAATTTTTGGAAATCTGCACTGTAAAAACAAATGACCACTAGTGAGGTGTGTGGCACATGTGACTGCCAATGCATTCAGTAAGTGCTCATTCACACGGCCATGCAGATATGTGCTCCCGGGAGGGACAGGTGCTGTGCGTAATTGCATGCAGCCGTCTGCACATCGCTATCGGAACATGCGGCTCCATGCCAACATGAACCTGCACATCCTTGTACGTCTGGGTGCTCATACTTGGAAGCAGATAGTGGGCACACTCAGATGGATGGGAAGGTTCTGGTTGGCATGCAGCTGCGCCTTCCCTTAGGGATGTACAGACGTCTGCACACAATTACACGCAGCACCTGTCCCTCCTGGGAGCAGGTCTTTGCCTGGCCGAATTAATGAGCCTTCACCGAATGCAGTGGCAGCCACATGTGGCACACACTTCATTAGTGGTAATTTGTTTTTACAGTGCAGATTTCCAAAAAAAGTTTTTGCCTGGAGTTCAGCTTTAGGTTGGCGATAGGACCTCTTTAATGTTGTATGGTGTGCATGCCCGTGTGAATGAGCTCTAAACCTTATATATATATATATATCAGTACATATGTGACAAGATATTTTCTGTTCATTAGGTCTATCCTGTGAATGTCTTCCTGGATACAAACTTAGTTCCAAGACCGATCCATTCATCAGCTGTCAGAAATGCCCTGAAAAAATGGTAAGGAATTTTTTTTGCAAACCAATTCTGACCCGACCCATTCTATTATAAGTTATGTTTCTGGCAGATTTTAGACTGTCAATGATTTAGTCCTTCTGCACACTGACAACTGTTTTGAGATTTTAGCACTAAAGCTGGGTATGCAAAGTTAGAATTACGTATGCAAAATCTGGTCAGAACATTTGATAATGCCATCAGAGACTTGAGAAATGTTCAAAAATGTTTTTGAATTTACATAAAATTTCAGGATGAATGGAGTTACCCAAATAAAAACCACATTCACTGTTAGTGCTAATTCACACGAGGGTGCACATATTGCATGCATGCAGAGACTTGCACGTGTAATTGTGTGCAGCCGCCTGTAGCTCAGCATGGGGGGACAGTGTGTATCCAAGTGTGGGCACCCCAACCTGCAAAGGTTCAGGTCGGCGTGAAGCCGCATCCTCCCATAGGGAGCTACAGGAGGCTGCACACAATTACACACAGCACCCCTACCACCTGGGATCAGGTCTCTGCACAGGCGTTTATGTCCATGTGAATGAGCCATTAGAATTTCGTTTGGTGAAGAAACTTTTTGCATCCTGCTGCTTCGAATTTTTTAATCCCTGTAGTAAAAAAACAATTGTCGATTTGAGCCATAAAAATAATTTCTCTGCCGTTCATTGAAGGACACAGGCAACAGATCGTAGATCCTGAATGGTAGGGTAATATCGCCACCTGCAGGAGAAGGACGCTAGGCACAAAACTAAAGACCAATTACAGCCTAGGGGCGGCCCCTGCCGGTGGCCAAACCCCCCACCTGCTGACAAGTCTCCAGTTTTTTGCCTAGCGTCAGGAGTAAGGAGCTAAAAAATTTTCTCTGGAGAATTTTTTTCCTTTCTTCCGTTTGATTTGATTTTTCTTCTAGAAAGTGTCCCCAGGGCGACAGGCTGGATGACTGTAGATCCTTGTAGTCTCCCCTGGGTGACCGACGAGCGCATGCAGACTCTGCTACGGTGGGTCGGCTGCGACGGGTGGTCCTCCCCGACGCCTATGGGATTCGTCCCAGGGGGGGGCTCCTGACCGGGGGCTCCGGCCCACCGGTCGCGGCTCTCCCCGCAGGCTGGCGGCGCCGCGGCTTCGGTCGGGGGCGTT